GCCTTCTGAAGAAAAGATAGTTTGAAACCTGTTGCATTGAAACGCATTAAATCTTGTTTCAAAAGCTCTCACCTCTTTAGCTAACGGATAGTTGTCGAATAAAGAATAGGTTTGGAGAAGCCTATGAATGCGTACGCAAAAGGCACATAAAAACTACAAAAATCAAATCATATTCTCACTTTATTTTTTGCTTTTAAAATATTATGGATCATCGTGCGAGCTGCAGGATTTTAACCGAACTTTTATTTGGTTCAGTTTCATTTTACACCCTGTACCTACTCGTGAAATGGAATCCAGTCCGTATAAACATGGATCCTTATATTGTTATGATATCTGCCATGCCGCTAACGTTCCAACTGAAAGTCAACCTTATTTTAACGATTGCAATAGCATTGGATAGAGTTTTGGTAAGTTAACTTGCTCTCTCAGAATAAACAAACGCATGAGTTCAACACATTTTAGGCTCTTTATGTTCCTGTTCAATACAGAATGATTTCGTCACTGAAATTCGTCGCTGTTGCACTGGTCTTAGCTACAGTTTTTGGTATTTGTGATCTTATAATCGAATTTCTACTCTCCCCAATAGTTCCAAAGATAGACTGCGCTGCTGTTGGATGTTTTGTTAGTCCTCAGTTTCGGAGTTACTGGGGAACTAGTAATATGGTATGTTTATAAAGGCGTTTTTCCGCATTTTAGTCAAAAGGCTATCAATTTTTAGATACTAGGCTTATGCATCATAGTGTTGACGGCGTTCGTCTTAGTGAAATTGCATCATATGCGGGTGCGAGCTAGACGATCAAGAACCACTAACACAAGCGAAAGCTCGAAATTAGCTCAGGTACTAAATTTTCGAATAGGATATTTTCAGAAATTTCAATGATGGATAACGCAATAATAATACTTCGTAAAAGAAGTTTGAGAAGTGTAAAAAAGATATAGAGTTAACTTCCCCTGTAAGCAAGCGGTAAAAAGCACTTCCATTAAAGACTACATCCTACTAAGACGTTAATTCTTGCAAAATGACGCAAGGTGGTGCACATGTGTACATAAAGCGCGCTTCAGTCTTTAATTAAAATATAGCACTGTTCAATTTTTTTACCCACAATCAAGATTCCTCTTCCTTCCTTTTACGAGAAGACTTTTTGTTGATACAAAAATGGTTACTAGCATTGCATTGAGCTCCGCTCCATCAAACTAAGGTCACTCCTTAGAGTTTCACAAATGGTAAAGCTTTACGTTGAAAGTGAAATTGAAGGTAATTCTTCGGAAGAGAGGAAGAGAACTGGAAATCCGGTAGAAATCAATATTCTAATTTTTCAAATATGAATAATACTTATTTTTAGGCGAATAGGTCATCAACAAGTTTTTTGCTCAGCTCCCTGGTTTGCCTCACAGTTCCTAGTGTGATTGTCGGTGGCGCGGAGTTGTTTGGTTTTTCCTTGTTCGAATATATAGGACCTTTCTACCTTGTCGGTCTCCTTTGCGCTAGTGAGTTTTGTAATTAAAGATCTTGAAATTTTCTATTTAAGAATATTAGAGATTGTATGAACTGCATAGTCTATGCTCCTTTCAATAGTGAGATGAGGTTACAATTGAGAAGGTGTGCCATCGACCTACGCAGCAACAGTTTGTCATTTGCTCAGAAAAAATGCGAAATTGGCTCCAAGTCAACTTCAAATATATCGCGGACACATCGACCTCAACATTAATCAGGCTCTGTGTATAATTATTGTATATTGATTGATTGTCTTCTTTCATTGCTGTAATCATGTTTCTTTGAATTGAAATACCTTCATATCGCAGTGTAACATTTATTCAATATAACTTTCTACTTTTATGTGAAGCTTTGGGTTCTACTAATTGGAAATAGCTGCCACCGAACTAATATTTACCATTCTCATTCTTTCCCTCTTTCACCTCCATCTAACTTCAATGGCGTATGTTATCTAAATTTTGAAAATTGTAATGTGTACCGGTATCGCAAATTTACAAGACAAGACACCACTGTGCTACTCTGTTACTTGTGGAAGTAACGCAAAGTCTGTTTTTTGTAGGTGACCTTAGGGAAATGGATACCCCTAATTTTTTTCTGGAGGATCTTTTCTCAGATATGGAAACATTTTGAGATAGCTATACACAAGTTGCTGTGCTAATGTACTTCTTGTTCTAAATGAGCTCTTCAAAACTATAGATTTTAAATCATAGGATTTGTTTTCTCCCAAATACCGTAACCTGGAACGATGCCTTTCTTACCTCTTTTTATATATACCCCTTAAAAACAAGTTTTACTGAATGATTTCGGTTGACGATTGTGGGTCCTACTGCCAACAATATCATTTTTTT